TAGACTAACCCCCGATTCACCCCAGCAGACAAGCCAACCAAACTGTTCGAGTGAACTGCTCCGTTCTCTCTCTCTCTTTCTCTCTTACTGTTCTGCTTGCACCCCCTTAAAAAGTTAAAATACTCTGTCCTCGTAGCTCTGCCACCCTCCTGCCGGGAATCCAGCAGCCCTAGCACCCCCTCTCCACTCCTTCAGATATTATTATTACCATTTCTAGTAGACACCTCTTTTCGTTTCTTCTCCTTTTTCTTCCTCTTCTTCTTCTACTACTCATCTTACTCCTACCGTCTTCTCTTTACCTCTCATTCTTATTCTTCCTCTATTCTTTCCTTTCACCCTCTTTTCTCTTCCCAACTCTTTTTCCCTTCAACCTCGTCCATCTTGGAATTTATTTCGCGACGACGTGGCGTGACTGAGTGCACCGTCTTTCAAATTGTTTTAAAGGTAAATGCATTGTGTCCTTCCTTTTCTCTTTTTCTTCGAACGAAAAATCTGTCATCGTCTTATCGACGTAAAGAAGAGATTCTTGATACGTTTTCAAAATGTACTCTCTCAATCCTTAGAATAATTTTATTGTCATTTGCATGCTCGAACGAATCATCATTTGGCTCCATTTAAGACGAATTAATTCTTTGCAAGTAGATCCTCTTTTTATTGCCGATGTCATCGTCTCGAGAATGCATACAGGTCTCTATCTCTGTCTGGCTAAAACGAGTCTCCTTATATACGACGATTCTTATATTTAACGATTCGACTCATTCGTTGAACGAATTAGAATCTAATTTATCTCCCTTTACAAAATTATAATCTTTACGAAGTGATACTTAGGAGAGTTACTCGCGTCAAGGTTCCTCTATCCGTATTCCAAAAAGCCTTCTTGACCTATCACGCGACTCCTTTTTATTACGATACTCAAAAGTGCGAGCTATAAAACGGATTCTATTTTATCGAGTCAAGCTTTAGAATCAAGGAATATTTATTCGAATGATGTACTCTCTCTTACTAAAGTAAAACTTTGTCCTTAGGAAGGAAGTAAAAATTTGGACCCATTCGAGTATGAAAGGAGTCGTCCTAATCTCTACGTAAAAAGCAAAAGAAATAAGAAGAAGAAACGTGAAGGACGCGATTAGAACGGCAGGCCTGGTCACTTCTCTGCATCTGTATCCGAGTCCATGAGCTCGAAGCAGAAAAGAGAGATAGAAAGAGGTGCGTGTGCAGCCGCGAAGCAGAGAGACCGCGCAGCGTTGCATTTAAACGACGATAAGTCTCTCGAGGCTTTGAAGACACCGGTCGAGAGTGACGAGAGGGGCAAGGGGGGGTTCAACGACCCGTTGACAGCCAGACAGGCGGACGCAGGCCAGACCGGTGCATCACCCCGCTTGTTCGAGGAAGGAGGGATCTAAAGTGCAAAAGAGAGACAGAGAGAGAGAGAGAGAGAGAGAGAGAGAGAGAATGAGAGATAAAGAGGAGGATGGCTAACGAAGGAGGGCCGGAGGGCGGAGTATATCGTCGTTATTATCGCCATCGACTTTTATCGCCAGACGATAACTCCCGACTCCTGCCGGTTACCTAGCTTCTGACGATGCCTTTTTCTCCTGCTCCTTTTTATTTTTTTCCTCTACTCTCTCTCTCTCTCTCTCTCTCCCCCTCATTCCTTCCTTTACCATCTTTCTATCCGCTTGTTTTCTTCTTTTGCGATCCCCTCGCTTGGCCGTCGTTAACACTGCCTTCTTTCCCTCCCTCCCTTCCTCGCTCTCTCTCTCTCTCTCTCTCTCTTGCTCTTTAATATATTTCTCTGGGTGCTTTCTCGATAGCTTATCGTGACTGTCGAAACGTAGAAAAGAAACGGAAGAGTGAAAAAAATATCCACCGATCCCTTCGAAATGATTTTATTCGGATGTGGCGTTAATGTATCCGTCCAAACAAGGCAGGTTTCTTTTCTTTTTTTCTATTTATTCGCGTGGTTCTTTTACACTCATATGTAGATATACATAAAAGAATAAGTATAAAGCTATAGAAACGGCTTTGAACCGATAAAGATGAAGGATGAAGCCCCTTCCAAACGATTTGATCGGATTCCGTGTTTGATCGTCGATAATCCAATTTGCGCTCGACGTTCTCGCTGAGCTTTCGCACATAGAGGGTGGAATCGTGAAAGAGGTACGAAGGGGGTGTGCTAGGCAGCTTGGCGATGGTGCATGTATTTTTCAACGATCTCCTTGCTGTGTCTGCTTCGTACAACTGAGTCAAATAGATGCTCCCTGTCATGGGGGAAAACCCGTCCAATTTTCTGAAATCATGCAAACCACCACCACCACCATCCCCGTCGTCGTCCTCGCCATCGTCTTCGTTTTAGCATGACAGGGATAAAGAAAGGAGCTGGAATTTCTTCTTTTCACTGTAATGTCTCGTCGTACCTCTCGTAAGACAGAAAATGAAAAAAACCAAGATGGAAACCGATTTTTCTTTACCTTCTTGGAAAACTTGTCAGTTTTCTCCCTTTGACTATGTGTTTCTTGAGATCCGGTATTTTGTTTTATGTCATCTAAGATTTGATAGGGTTTTTTTATGTCTTTTTTTCTTCTCGATGGCTTGATACTAAATGCATTCTCGATCTGCAGGATTAGGATCGTAAAGGGGTGCTTTATTGGGTGCTTACTCGCATCGATACGGTATCGTTCAACAGGTGCACTTATCGCATGTGCGAAACTATAGCCGGTAAGAATAAAGGTGGGTGCGCGATCGCACGAAACGGCCCGTTATTCGCTCGCTATAGAGAGAAAGAGAAAGAGACAAAGAGAGAGAGAGAGAGAGAAAGAGAGACAGACTCAATGCTTTCGTGCTATGCTCGATCGTGGGGATAACGTGAGAGAGATAGAATTTGGTGATCGTTACCTCTTCGTTAATTGCCGCTACGATAACGCTTTATTAATTATTTCTCGAGTGCACCTACTTCTGGTTCTCGAATAAAATAACAAATTGTCTTCTTTGTTTTGTTCTCTCTCTCTCTCTCTCTCTCTCTCTCTCTCTCTCTCTCTCTCTCCCCCTCCCTCCCTCCCTCTCTTTTTAATTCGTATATGAGGCACATCAGTTATACTCAGACGCATTGAGAAGATATGAAAGCAGACTCGTGCGTGACGATTACGATCGGCAGGTGCAAATGCAAAAAAAGTAGCCACAAAAATTCGAATTGACTTGAAAGAGGAGCCATCTTTGCGTTACGTTTGCTATTTTTTTATTCCTCTTCTTTTTCAGATAGCCTCCGGTATTCGATGGAATAATAACAGAAGAATCCGATCCAACGACTTGGGAGACTCGTTACCGCAGGAATTATACGATGTTGAATCCGTAGGGGTAAAAGCTAATACACGTATAAAAGGGACTCGAATGTATATGTAGGACCAGTAACTTTTCATATAAAGATGAAATACAATTTTCGGATATTGGATGGATGGAAAGAAAAGCCTCCTTTTCCTGTCGCTTTTCCTCTGATCGGATCTTCGTATGCAGCCATCTTCGTGTAATGAGTCCCGAGGTAATCGATATTATTTGTGAATTAATATCTATGTAAATATTCGTCTAATTATTATCCTTATTTAATATTATATCTCTCTTTCATTTGCTTAAAAAATTCTACAAGATTTTCACTCGAAGCAACCTTGATATTCTTCGCATGCGGCACGATCAAGGCTATTTGGTCTTAAGGCCCTCCGAGCAGTTTCAGAAAGACAGAAAGGGGAAGAGAGACGATGCACGCTGAGTCGATGGCCAAGCACGATGGCCAAGCACGATGCCCTTAAGTTGCCTCCTTCTTTGCCTCTTCCTTCTCCTTCTCTTTCTACGTAAGTACGTTCATACGAGTGGATGGACGAAGGAACAGTGACTGTGACTGACAGAGTTGAACGCGCGAGCGCATTCGACCACGGACGGAAAAAGAATGAGTCGAGCACGCGAGCCCGAGTCGAATGGCTTCGTTGAATGGGTTTAAACGGGCGCGTCGCGTCCCGTGAGAAATGAAAATCACCGACGGTGACGAGGCTCGTGTCTCGCTTTCAGCCGCTCGCATATTACCCGGGTATCCGCTTTATTATTTATGAAATATGGCCAGCTATATGAGAGAGTGAGAAAGAAGAAGATAAACGTACGTGGTTGTACGATGAGGAACTAGTCGTTGTCGACTGAACGACTTTGGTAAAACCGGAGAAGAAAGAGGAGGAAGATAAATAGGAGAGATCGTGCTTGAAAAAGAGCTAACACAAATTTGCCGATTCTTTTATTTACTTATTTATTTATTTTTTTTTCTTTTTTCTATATATCTTTCAACTCAGATCATTTTTCCTTTCTAAAGAAAAATAATTCTAAACAGCAGGTCAACGAGATAGAAAAATCGAAGAAAATGAAATGCCAATTTCAGGAAAGTAGAGGAAGAATTCACATTAGGAAGGAGCATACCTTACATATTTAAAGCTAACATTAAGCTACTTCACAGAACAACGAGTCGAGTTCGATTCTTCGTGTCACGATCAAAGTTCAAGTCGAGACTTACACGTCGATTGTGTCTCGGGACCATCCCTGTTCTTTCTCATACATATGTATATACATACATACGTACGTCTGTTCGTTGTCTGTTGCCCCAGCGCACTCGAAGAGAACGCATAGCCGTCTGGCCCCGGTAAAGGGTCTCTGACCGATTATCACTTGGTCTTTATGGTCTTTGAGGTTCTTTTAAACCTCCGTCCCGTTTCTCCGCTCCTTAACCCTCCCCTCCCCCTTTCTCTTCATCTTTGTCCCTTCATCCTTGTCGGCCTTCTCTCGCTCTCTCACATGCACACACGCACGCACGCACGACGCACGCACGCACGACGCACGCACGCAGGCACGCACGCATGCATGTCAGCTCGCGTACGCTTCGCGTTTTTGTCTTTGTTCTTTCATCGACCGATTCTCCTTTCCCTTCGTCTCGTGATCCAGCGGCAGTTTCTTTTTTGTTTTTCTTTTTGTTAACCACGACCCACAGTGACTGTCTTTTACGTTCGGCATTGCGAAACGCGTTCTTTCGCTTTTATAATTTTTTACTTCTATTTGAAATTTTTCAATGGTTTCCAAATGTGTCTGTAAACATTTTTTAAAGCTTCGATATAACACAAATCTTACACAAAATTTATTTACCATAGTTGAAAGAAGCTATTCGGTTGTTCAAGCAGCGAACTAATGCTTTTGTGATAGATAGTTAAAGAATTTAGAAGAATATTATAAATGATCGATGTAAAAAAAGTCCTTTTTACGCGATTAAAGTTACATAGTTTGTTATGAATGGTTGGTAACTCATGTGCCTGGTATTCATGTACATGTGTGCAATGTGGAAGCAAGCAAGAGAGTTTTTGTCGCCTACCTTGGTATTTAAAGCAGGTCTTTTCCAAGATATTATATAGGTTAGTTTGTCGACTTATATAGGTCAGTAGTATCCGTGCGTATGTAGGTTAAAGCATTCATCGTCGAGCTCGATTCGAGGTATTCCTGTGGAATTGTTCTGGAAAATTTGTGCGCAAATGAGCGGTAGAGATTTTTTTCCCTCTATTTTCGTATTAAAAGGAGCTTTTCCCCAAGAAATTATATAAGTAAATAGACCAATTCCTTTTCTCATGATTTATATAGGTTAATAGTATATAGGTTAGGATCTCGTTTCTCATCATATTCTTTTCTTCTTCGAGAAACTGATAGAATCCATAATAAATATTCCAAATTATTTACGAAACAATATTCTTTTGAAACCATTACAAGAGTATATGGATTTACCATTAATAAATTAAATATATTTTTTTTATTCGAGATTAATTGGGAATCTTTTTGACTCGCGAGGTTTAAAAGATAGAAGAAGGTCTACGTTCGTATATCGCGATAATTAAAAGCGCATATATTTTAATTATTTTCATAGAAGTAATAATAGTCGTGCGTACTCCATCGTCATAATTCGAATTAATAAAATTATTTAAGATCGTTTCTCTATTAAATTTCATATTACAAAAGGCTGATTTTTAATAAAAGCTTGAGAAAGTAATAATTTACTTATTGGAACGTAATTATCGAAAGTGGACGTAGTGCGCATGCCCGGCGTAGTGTTATCGTTTCGCCGGTAAAAACTACGCCATCGGTTGGTTTGTGCTACAGGTAAATTAGCATATTTTTTCTAAATATCTTTTTCTAAATGTATCTACGCACTATACAACTTATATTACGCGCTATTAATTATACTTCAAGAAATATAATATTTCTTTAAATCGAAATTCGGTCGAAGTATTTACTATTCCAATTAAATTCAGGATTCATCTAGAGGATTTAGAGGAGAAAGTGAGCGATGAATAATCGTAAGAATTGTTATTGTTATTGGTGTAGGTATCAACCGTGAAATTTTATCCAGTGACCTCGAAGAGGATGACGCGTGGACCGGCTCGAAAGGTCGTCGAAGGTTGATAATAACGGGAATCGGTTGGACGGTCCTCTCACCACTTAACTGCTGCCTACGTTTCTTTAAATAGAGCGTAGTTCTCGGGTGACCGTGTCGGTTCCGCGAACTCGCCGGCCGATTCCAAGTACGTCGCTATGGAATGTCGCTGGCTTTGCTAATACATTTTTGCATTTGCTATCTCTACCAGCACTGAACGAGAAAAGGAAGAGGAAGTGGAAGAGGAAGACTGCTCTCCCACCTTCAATGAGCCGATTTGCTTCAGGCGTTTCTATCAACGCAAATACTTACCGTCGTTGCATGAGTTGCTTCTCTCCCTCCCTCTTGCTCTCTCTCTCTCTCTCTCTCTCTCTCTCTCTCTCTCTCTCTCTCTCTCTCTCTCTCTCTCTCTCTCTCTTTCTCTCTCTCTCCTCACTCTTCTAAAGATGACCCCACGAATGGAAACGTAGACTCGAGACGGAGGTGATCCTCCTCTTCTTACGATTACGAGTCCGTACAGCAAGGTCAAAGTACGTTTATCGGCAAGAGATAGGATTTCCTGCTGTCGTCTGGCCAGACGAGGATTGTATTGCCAATATTTATTGCATACAGAGTGTGAACCGTGTAATATGATCAATTGAGAATTGTTTTTCCTGAGGAATTTGCATCGTCGGTAAAAATCTTAGGTAACTTATAGATGATTTCTTTTTTCACAATTATCAACCAAGTCAAGATATTCATATTACACGATTTGTTTTTTATATATTTTAACGATTGTCTCATTTCAATGAAATCTGTCGTTTTATCTTGATGATGAATTTTTTTTAACATTCGCTCAACGTCGAAACTAATGATTGCATTGATATTTTTTTAGAGACTCGCCAAAAGAGAGAAAACCGATGGAATCCTTCAATAAGCAAGAAGTTATCGGGACATGGTACTTCTCGTCCGGTTGAATTCTCTCTCTCTCTCTCTCTCTCTCTCTCTCTCTCTCTCTCTCTCTCTCTGTCTCTTAGTCGCAGTGACGTTCTCGTTTTCTAAAGAAGGAATAATAGGAGCTATGACGTCGATACCACCGGCTCTTAGAAAGGGTAGTAAGGGAGAGGGAGGGAAGCATTCGAGGGGTGAGAAACAAAGGTTTTCATCCGTCGAGACCCATAACCTAGTACGCATATCGTGTCATGCGACTCCTGATATATTCCACAATTAACCTTACTAATAAATTATTGCTCTAGCGACTTCTCGTTGGTAAGAAACCAATGAGTACAATCATATCACGTGACCCCAAGCCACGTTGGATTATCCGACAGTTCGCAGTGCCCTTGAAAGCAGTCATTTATAATATTTTCTTAGATAGACGCGTTAGCTGGTCATGTGTTTCGATCAATGAACTTTCCTTAATGCCTTCTATGCGTGTAAATAGTAAGACATACAGGAATCGAGTAAAGAAACTCTATATATATATATATATATATATATATATATATATATATATATATATATATACATAGAGAGAGAGAGAGAGAGAGAGAGATAGAGAGAGAGTGAAAACAAGAAAGAAACTAAGGAAGGAAGGAAAGAAGGAAGGAAAAACGAATCGGGTCGCGTTGGGTCGTTCGCCAGGAAATCAGTCAACCGGTTTCGTCGCCGTCGTCGTCGTCGTCGTTGAGAGGGAAAGAGACGACGTAGATGAAGAGGTTGAAACATAGAGTAAGCATAGAGAAAGAAGATGGAGAGGAAGGAGAAGAGAGGAGAGAATAGGTATCGGCGTGAGTACTTCTCCCCTCTTTTCGCGTAGCGTCTTTTTTCCTCCTTTTCTCCCTGACTCTTCTCTTTTCTGTTGTTAGTTCCCTTGTCGAAGGAACGAAAAAGACCGAAAAGCTACGAGAGTTGCCGAGTAAAGACGAGAAGCAACGAGGAGATACGAGGAAGGCCGAGGAGAGTCGCGCACCGCGGCGCTGAACGCAGTGCCATCCGATAGGCAGCACCGCTTGCTCCGTGGATCCTTCGCTTCGCTCGCTCGTACGGAAGCCCTGGTTCTCTCTTCGTGCTCTCCCACCTTTTTTCTCTTTCCCTCTCTCTCTTTTTTTCCTTCCTTCTCTCTCTCTCTGTTTTTATCAGAGAGAGAGGGAGAGAGAGACGAGCAAGCTTCCTCATTTCTCGCGTCTCTTTCTCTTTCGATAGTCGAAGTAATATTATTGTGGGCCTTGGTGCGCCTTTTTGTTGTCGTTCGTTCGTTCGTTGCTCACACGCACGCTCGCACGCACGCACGCACCCACGCACGCACGCATGCACGCACGCAGCGTGAACGATTTCGCACGATATACACAAACATATACATATGTATAGGAGTAATACATAGACGCAGTGAATCTTACGCGACGCACGTCTCTCTCTCTCGTCCCTCTCTCTCTCTCTCTCTCTCTCTCTCTCTCTCTCTCTCTCTCTCTCTCTCTCTCTCTCTCTCTCTCTTTCTCTGTCTTTCTCTCTCTCTTTGATCTCTCTTTCGTGGCCTGGAAAACACGGAGATTCACATGGTGTGGACGTCATCGTTGTCATCGTCGTCAACGTCATCATCGTTATCGTCAGCGTCATCGTCGCAATCTATCTTCCATCATCGTGCTGTGATTGTCGCTGTGTATCGTTGTTGATGATCATCGCCGTTGTACCGTTGCGTACACGCACACACATGTATTACGCATCGTCGACGTGAGCAGAAGCACCCCCTCCCCTTGCAGCTCATCAAGGAGCGGACGCGTGCTGGTCAACACGGTGCGTGTACCTACCTCTCTTTCTCTCTTGCATGCTCACATCGCACATATCTCATTCTCTTTCTCTCTCTTTTCCACAACGTAAATCATGATTCACCTTTAGAGAGCCTGTTTGAAAACCTTTCTTGCGTTAGGAGTTTAAGCTTTGGTTGGTTCGTTCGTTCTTTCGTCGAACAGAAAGAGACACCGCTTCTTTTCTCGGAACTCTTGTCGGAACGCGAGGGAGACCGAGCATGGCCGCCTAACGCGAAGCGAGTCACTCTTCGATGTCCATCATGCTAGCTAGTCCGGTGTCTTTTTCTCTCTCTTTTCTTTCCCCTCGTTTGCTATCACTCTCTCTTGTTGCGCGCTTGTGCACACGCATTACGCACTCTATTCATCTCCCTCTACGTTAACGCGCGCGCGCGCGCACGCTCTTTCTCTCTCTCTCTCTCTCTCTCTCTGCTTTGTCTCCCTCTCGAGTTCAGTCTGTCTCTCTTCCGCCAAGATGCATTCAGTCGGTTCGTCTATCTCTCTCAATCTCGACGAAGCCGTTCGTTCCTCTTCCTCTCTCGTACCGTTACCCTCCGTCGTATTCCTTCTCTTTCTCTCCTTCTCTCTTCCTCTCCTCGAGGCTCGTTCTTGTCCCCTGATCGCGCGTTTCATTCGAAAATAGAACGTCAGCGCGCGTGCCGCGCACATTTTTCCCTGTGAAAACAGCAAATTCCCTCTAGCTGGCACGCACTCTCTCTCTCTCTCTCTCTCTCTCCCCCCTCCCCCCCTCCCTCCCTCCCTCCCCCTCTCTCTCACTATCTTTCGTTTTCCGCGAAGAACGTTGCAGCCACCTTCCTTGAGAATCCTGTCACGCGCGACTCGAAACACTCGACGAGCCCTTTGTTGGCCCTCCCCTTCTTTCCCCGTTACATTCTCTTCCTTTGCTCTCCTCCTCGAAGAAAATTATCTTCAACGAACGAGCCACGTGTAAAAGGTTAGAGCAAAGTTCGAGGAGATACGCAATGAATAATAACAATTTTGATGTTTTTTCTTCTTTTTCTTTTGACAAACTTTGTCTTTTATTCCATTTTTTTTTTATCTAGAATATTTCGGTATCTCCGTATAATATCTATTTTATATTAATAGAATTCTCCGCAACATTCCTATTAAAAACGAAAACATCTTTTTTTTACTCTTCGAGAAATAAGAGAAGTTTCAGGCGAAATAAACGTGTTCTCTCTTCGTTATCGTCGAGGTTAGATCGACGACTCGCGTTTTCCCTCGCGACAAAAATTGGAGGTCCTGCTAGGTAACGCGAGTACATGACTTTTGCATTAAGAGAATAGCAGCCCGATGAAAACGGAGCAGTTTCTTTCTCTCTCTCTCTCTCTCTCTCTCTCTCTCTCTCCCTCTCCTTATTCTCATTCTCATACATAAACTGTCGACGAGTCACGACGAGTAAGTACGGTTCCCCAACGCAACAATGTTTCTGCTCGTGCACGAGCGTACGCGCGCGCGCTACGTGCCGTTTGTAAAAATAGGTTTTTCATGATTTCTCGCTCCCTGCGAGTCGTCTATACTTAGAGTCGTTCCTCGTGTCTCCGTGTAGTAAACAAATTTCGGAAGGAAGGCATGGACCTCGCGTAACCCACACCTCTTCTCTCACTTCAGTCTCTCTTTTCCACGGGAGAATCTAAATTTATTACCCGAGTCTTCGCTCTTGCGAAGAGATATGGAGACCTCGCGGAGTATGGAGAGAAAGAGAGATCGTGGAATCCATAAGACTGTTTACGTGAAAATAGAACTAATGGTTCGAGCTAATAAACATCATTAATAACGTTGTACGTACGATAGAAAACAAGTATATAACTTAGCCCAGTTTGACGACGAAGAAAGAGAAAGAGAGATTGATGAGAATTGTAAAAAAGAAGAAAAAAAAAGAAAAGAAAAAAAAAGACAAATCGATATTTTTCCTGTTTCAGATAAATTCAATAGATGCATATCCCGAAGGAAACGCGTATCTCCCGTGCCATCGGAGAGAAAAGCTTGCAATAGCAATTGGCGAGATATCGGAAGAAGAGAAGGAAAGAAAGAAGAAAGAAGAAAGAAGAAAGAAGAGAAAAGATCGAAGAAGAAAAAAGATGCAAAGTAGCAAAGGATTCTTCGGATTTCTCGAGGATCATCGTTCTATCATTCTCGAATGCATTGATAGTCTTTGTTCGCGATGATGGAGGAAACAGAGCCGATACTTTCTTTAATTATCAGAGAGACCGGAGGACGCAGGTATTTCGATATCGGCTCGGTGATAGATAAATGTCAGTTTTTACTCGGATAACAAGATCCTCGGGAAGAGGAATTGGAATAAGAAGAAGAGGAAGAAGGGAGAGTCGGTGACGAGTATTGGATGTAGATCGCGAGGGGTTGTTGTCGGTGGCGGTGGTGAGGGTGGTGAATCGAGGCTCGCGTGGGCCATCACGGGGGCAGGAGTGGGCTTACTCCTGCTTCTTCTCGTCGTCGCTCTTCAGGGCGATCGCACGACTACGGCCACGGTAACATTGCTGTCGTCCGATCACCGGCCATCCCCCACGAATTCTTCTTCCTCCTCTCCTCCTCTTTCTCCTTCCGTTATTTCTCATCCCCTTTCGACCAAGTCATCCTGTTTAAGATCGATTCTTCTTTTGGATTCTTCGATCGGTCGGTGGTGGTGGTGGTGGTGGTGGTGGTGGTGTCACGAGAAACGAAGATCGACATCTTTGTCCTTTTCGGTCGATGGAAATGAGGACGACTCGAGGATAAAAAATACGAAAACTGCTATCGTAAGAAGTACGACAACGACGACGACGACGACGACAACGGCGGCGGCGGCGGCGACGGCGGCGGCGGCGACGGCAGCGGCGACAACAACAACAACAACAACAACAATAAAGACGACGACGACGACGACGACGACGACGACAACAACGACAACGACGACGACGACGACGACGACGACGACGACGACGACAATAACGACGTGGACGACGACGACAACGACGACGACGGCGACGACAACGAGGACGACGACGAGGACGGCGACGGCGACGTTGACGGCGACGACGACAGTGACGGCTACCACAACGGCGACGGTGACGGCAACGAGAACGAGGAAGAAGAGGAGGAGGAGGAAGAGGAGGAGAACGAGAGTCCTAGCAACTCGTCTTCCTGGAAGGACGAAGGACAAAGGGGGAGGTGGAAGAGAAGAAGAAGAGGAAGAAGAAGACAAAGAGGGTGGTAACAGTGGTACCGAGCAACTCGTACTCGGTGCTACCGTTGCTGCTGCCGGTGGTGGTAGTAGTAGTAGTAGTAGAAGTAGTAGTAGTAGTAATAGCAGTAGTAGTAGTAGCGGTAGTAGTAGTAGTGGTGTTGGTGTTGCTACTGGTGGTGCTGCTGCTACTGGTGGTAGTGGTGATGGTGGTGGTGGTGGTGGTGGTGGTGGTGTCGTCGAGCTTAGCACCACGACGACGACAACAGTCGCCAAGCCGATGTCAGCGAGTTCGTATCCTGGAGATGAGGAGGAGCTGCCGGGAGCGGAAAATCACCAGCTAGCGAAACGGCCGAGCTCTGGAGAAAGAGAAGGAAAAGGAGAGGAAGGAGAGGAAGAGGAAGTTGGAGAACTGGGCAAGGACGAGTCGACGTTACGCGAGGAGGTCAAGGTCATCGACTCCTCGCCGTCGTCGTCCTCATCCTCGACGAACACCGGGACGACGACGGTACTTTCCACCACGCTGTTACCACCACCCAATCGGGACACCTCTATGGAAGCACGTGAGTAAATTCCCCCACCCCCTATCCTCCCCTTATACTCGTCTCGATCCGACTGGTTTATTAAGAGAATGATTTATTACGCTAACGATACTAAAGATCAATTCGAAAAAGTCAAATGCAACGTTTTGCCACAAATCGCGAGGTTGATTTATTTTTTCGATCGAGCCAAGAATTTTATTCTTCACTTTTTACATATCTTATTTATTTCCCAACGGGAAATGACAAAGGATGGATATTTTTTTCGCGCCTTCTCCCCGCCCTCCCCTCACCCTCTCCAATGGTACGCCAACTATTATTTTTTCTTTGTCAACTGTCTGTTGTTCTAACGATCGAGTTAGAACTAATCTGAACTAGCACAAAACACGTGATTCTTCTTTCGAACGATCGTTTATTTCGTATAACTCGAAATATAAAAATAAGTTGAACGCGTGCCACTGAAGAGTGACAGAGCGTTCTGGTATTCGTATAAATTTTCCTCGTGTTATCTCTGATATACATAGACTTCATAAAACACACGGGTATATTTGTCGTTCGGTAATATTTTTTGAGCAACACGAAACTCGTATAATCGACCGTTAAGCTAAATTTAAGAAATTTAGATATCTACGTTGCCCGCCATCCTACTTTTTTTTTACGACCGATCGACATTAAATTTCCGGATCTTATTGAACCTTAACTGAAATGTTTCAAAAACAAGTTATATAGCTTTGAAACACCGATTAATACGACAAAATGAAAGTAGTCGTTAATAGAGAATGCGGAAATTTTAATAGAAAAAATTCTCTAGACGCGAATGCACGGAGAAAGTCACGAAAAAGGCGGCAAAAATGAAAGAGAGTCGCGAAACGAAGGGAGAGGAGCAACGGAGCGTACGCGCATCTCTCTCGTGTGTTTTTGATTACGCTTGCACGAGCGCGTGCGTGTGCACGCATGCACGCCGTAACACGTCGTTCTTGCCGAACGGCTCGTGACTTTAAGCATGAATCAGAGACGGTCGATTATTCTTTTCGTCCACTCCTCGACAATCGGACTGAATTTTTCGTTAAAAATTTTTCTTCTCAATTTCATTATCTTCGGCTTTCTTTTGGGTTTGTTTTCGAAATGACGAGTAAGATAGCAATAAAATCCCTTCAAAGTCACATTACCAAGCGGAACATTGGATACTTTCAACGCTTCTTTTACGTTTTCTCTCCATTTGTTAAAGTTGCAATAAAAAGAGAGTACCGACAAACAATAGATATTATTAAGTATTGTTCAGTCCGAAGTAAATAATCGTCGATTCGCCGACAGTTACTTCCTTCTCGTATTTTTCCAAGAAAAACAAAATAAAAGACTAAGAGAGAGGAAGAGAGAGGGAGAGAGAGAAAACACGAACGTTCTTCAAATCAGAAAGGTCACAAAGAGTATAGGCGACCGTAAGTCTAGAACACAGTAGGTAAGACACACTGCGATCGGTCGATGCGTTTATTTCCGTGTGCCGCTTCTCCGCAGGCGGCTTTTTTCGCTAGCTAATTCGCGATCTGGACAGTTACCAACGGTGAGTTCTCGGTGAGCGCGCGATACCGGGTACTCGGTATAAGAGGAATGACTAAATGCTCTCTGACTAACCGGTCAGGCATTCCGTAACTCGGCTGTCTTATTTTCGTTGCTCCAGAAAAGAAGAGTGAAGTCGAACTGACAAGTAATCTCTAATTTCATTTCGATTACGTACCGTTCAATCACCTTTCTTTTTCATTATCGTCGATGCTATGCATGTATATTCATCCCTTTAGAAGAAAAGCAAACGTTTTACTCGTGGGGAACGAAAATATTATAGGCTTTCGTAATTATTCAATCTTATAATTCTCCAATAATACGTTATCATAGGGGCCAAACTTCTTTCGAATCGTCCGATTATTCTCGTTTTATTTGATCGTCGAGGTGATTCTACGCAAGGGACGCGGTCGTTATAACTTTGTCTTTATAGGTATAAAAAAGAGATCATTTAATCGAGTCATTTGATTCGAAGTG